GATGATGTGCCATTGCACATCAACGATTGGTCCAGACTGAAGACGATGAACCAATCAACGATTGGTTATTGATTACAAATATGAAACGTATATAGCGGACGTGATTGCCCAACCGTGTCTGGGCCTTCTATCACTTCCGCTTATGTTTCACGTTTGTCGGCAAGTATCGCCGTCTTTTGGCTGAAAAGAGCAATTGCAGTTCCAGTATTATTTAGTTCCAGATAATAGCAGCAAAGGTGGAGGCAGGAGTATGGAGGGGATCCTGGATCCAGTACAGCATTTTTAATTTAGTTTCAGCTTACTTTTTAAGTAGCTGCTCCCTGATAGTCTAAACAAATTCATGGACAATATGTCTTGGATTTACTTCCTATATTTTGAATAGGTTTTTTTCTTTTTACCTTCTTTTAACAGTAAATACTATAATGATCTATTGAAAATCGAATTAAAATAATGTTGAATAATGATAAAACTGATTTGGTTATCGCACATCATCTATCATCTTTCCGTTTCTTGGCAATTTTTGTAACATTTTACACATTTGATGCGATCAGTATCTCTATATCTGTAGGTCAAAAACTGTTAACAAACTGTAAAAGAAAAGACGTCTTGGTAACAACTGTCAAAAACACAACACACTGTGTGTACACTGAAAAATCAATATGAATGTTTTAAATATGTTTTACTCAAAACAACCATTGTTTGTTTGTTTTTGGGGGTTTTTTTTGTCCTGTTCTCTGGTTTATCTAGTGGTGGTTTTAGGTACTGCTCTTCCATGATGCCGTAAACATGTCGATTTAAACAAGTTTGTTAAATAATAGTTATTTGAAATAAGCCTTCTAAAAAGAGAGAGACCATCTGTCCAACTTTTGACACAACGCTGAGTCACATCAAAAGACATTGAGACCACAGTGAATTGTGGTCTACTTGTTTTTCCACTGCATATCATTAGTCTAAATTTAACTATTTCCCCAATATGAAAAACTACATTTATTATTTATTAAATTTGAACCATAAAGTTAGTCTCTGCTGTGAGATTATTTTTAGTTATTTGTTAAATTTGAACCTTCTCAGGTTTGCAGCTTTGATCATTGATGTTTCCCAGGGGAGATTCTGTTTAACTCCTGGTCTTTCTTTCTCTCTCTCTCTCTCTCTCGCTCTTTCTCTCTCTCTCTCTGTGTGTGTGTGTGTGTGCGTGTGTGTAAGCATGACAGTAAGTACAGACACGAGAGAAACCCACAGTGAGTGATACGCTGGCACAAACCAAGTTCACTTTTATAGAACTTTTTGATATTATACTCATCATCTGGACTAGTTTTTTGTTTTTGTTTTTTGAAAACACAATCCTGGAAAACAAGACCAAGGTACATTTTAATGACATTATTATCACAACATGATGAGAACTGTAGACACTGTGATGTATACATGCTGTAGTCCTATCATCACACTGAAGACTGTCAATTTGAATGTGGAGATAGAGTTTTAACGGAACTCTGTTATAGCATTAGCATATTATTTGTTCGATACAAGATGGAAATATT